GTTTTAGGACATTTTATGGATCAAAAGAGATTAAAACAAGGGCTTTACCGTCATCCATGGGACGACATTTCTTATGTCTTACCAGAACAATATAACTAGGAGAATTTTTTTAATTTTGTTTTCTATTTTTAATTGGTCGACAAGTGAACAAAGCCATTTTGCGCTATACAAATGCCAATAGAAGTTTTGGTTGCGCACAATTTATTACCTGATAAGTCTACACACAAGCATTTTTCCATCTCAGTTTCAAATATTTAAAACAGTTTTGCATTTGATTAGATATCAATATTAATAATTATTACTTTGTACATAATAATAACTATTTATTCATCGGGTTTAAATGTAAGCCTGTACAAAAATTGCATACATTTTTAATGCACCGTCTTATTTTTTTGTTGGCCTTTACAAAGATTTTTTTAGAAATTGTTTAAGATAAAATAAGTTTGTTATTATTGACTTGATTATGTATTGACTTAAATAATGGTGATAATATTCAATTTTTAGATTTTTATTTTCGTATTTTTTAGTGTTATTTCAGATGTAAACTCTCACACCGGTCTGAAGTGTATAATAAATGTCTCCAACTTCTTAGTTGGTAGAGGCAATACCTTACCTTATTTCTAGCCATATTTTAAACCTTAAAATTCCATGTGTACTGATTTCAAATTTGCTAATTGTTTGAAGGACTAGGAGAAACAATAACCATTTAACATACACATAAGTTAAATACCATAAATTGGATATTTTAATCAAGTGTATAGTATTTAAATGTTAATATTAAAGCAATAATATTTTATATGTTATAATTTATAAATTATAAATATTTATAAATAGGCAAATATTACAAATAAATACAGAAAAATGAAGTTTGCAGTTTAGCCATTCTTAAAAAAAGGTAATCAGGTGACAGATGTAAGAAAAAGTTTTTAAGTATACTCACTCTTCAATCTTTACATTGCTGACATCCCACATTTTGACTTAACAAAAATAGACCTTTGCCAACGATACTTGCATATGTTTCTCTGATGCGGATATTGATATTGCTATGAACTACTTTTAAAATCACTTAAATTATCTACAAGTTGGGTGTAACCTATGGAAAATAAAAATAAATCATCATCACTGTGACGTTGCGTCCTAAAATCTGTCCTCCTCTATCAATGAATAACAAAATACTTCTGATTGTCAACTCAATTAATTGTTTGAGCCTAGATATCGGGTGGTTGGTTTTAACACGTTTTGTATATGTGTGGCAAGGATTTGTTTCTAAAAATCTAGGGCGGTCATCCATCCAGAAACTAGTAACACCGGCCGGTGCCGACGCCGTTAACTTAGAGCACGTACGCAACCGTCACACCACGCCACTTAGGATAAATAACTATTAAGTAATATGTAGGTAACTAAAATGTTGTCACGGTGACAACGGTCTGACACGTAAAAGTGTAAAACCTAAGAATCTCCAGTTCTAAATCAAATTATCTTATAGTTTGAAAAAAATCTAAGTCATTTAACGGACCCCGCCCTACATATTATATATCTATGCTATTTTATGAAAATAATAACAAAAACCTTAAAATACAAACGAAACCGTAATATTTTAAAATAGTTTTAATCCTTAGTTAAAATATATTCCTATTAATATTAAAAAAAAAAACGAAATATTAAATAGATAGGTATCTGTACAATTTAAACGACAAGAATAACCATTTTAGTTGCTCTGTTGTAGGTTAGTCACATTACTTTTGAGTAGATATTAGAAACTTTTATATTTTCACAGAATAGTATTTTCAAATGCAATGGATGTCTTTAATAATAAAAACCTGTATCATAAATAATGCCTTCTTATAACTTAGTAAAATAGGCTGACAGGCCGTATTTGCCTAGAATCGTTTTTCGTATGCAATAAATTATGAATTTATGATTGACTTAAAATTTGCCTAGAATCGTTTTTCGTGTGCAATGGTTTATGCATTTATGATTGACTTAAAAGATTAAGATAACTTTATTTCTATTATTAATTAATCAGCTGAACATTTTGGAGTATCGAAATCCTAGTTCTTGAGTTATTCAAGAGGACGCATTTTGTTGGCTCCGTCTTTTAAAAGTATAATTCAGTTTTAAGTGAGTTATGAACATTAAATTTAAACTATGTACGCAAAACTTGCTAAAATATTTAATCATCCTAAGAAAGCCCAGATACAAACAAATTATGTTCTTACTATCAAGATCCATGTTAGGTCAATTTACTCTAATTTTTAAGCTAACGGTGCTAAACGTGATCTAGGTGCTGAGTGTAAATTTGCTTTGTTACACACTTCTAAGACCGAGACGAGAAATGCCTGTGTAGCGTACCTACTAGAGTCCTCTTAACTTAGGGTACTAAGGACGGTTCATGATACCTAATGGGTTTGGAAAATACGAGGGCTATGTTCATTTATTAATGTTAGTGCGCATTATAATTACTAGGTAAGTACCTAATCAATATATATATATATATATAAATATTCTAATACAAACACGTACCTATCTAAGAGGGGTAACATTGCCGGTAGCCACCCAATTATATTGTTGAAATACCCAAGGCTCAAACAAAGTTAAACCTTATTTTAAAATGTCTATTATAATATTTGTTATTACATTAATATCTTTAACGCTGCGTTCCTGCCGCGATTACAAAATAAATATGAACATTAGCACTGTCTTGTAATTTATCGCATCAGTCGCAATTCGATTTTCGAACAGAATGGTCAGATTGTCAGAATTCAGAATAGAAATGGTTCATAGATATGACATTAAATATCTAAATCAATTATTATATTAAAAGTCACATGAATTCACATTCTATTTCAATAATTCGGCATTTCCCATCACGGCTTCATTGCTTGGTATATGTGTAGGTACCATAAATTATGTACAATATTATATTTACGGGTATCTATGCGTAGCATTAATAGTGTGGCTTGGCGTGGTGAGGTTTTTGAGCAATATCAGTCGTCAGTCACACGATGTGATTGACTGATTGAGAGTAGGCACGCAGCCGTCCACTGACACTAAATCCCGGATGGGTGATCACTCGGGTTCTTAGTGGCAAAAACCTTGCAACACATACACAAGTTTCCAACGACCTTATCAACCCTACCGTAACTCCTTATAATAGCTAATAGCACTAATTTCCTATGCCGGGATACTTAATAATAAAAAACAAATTCATGCAGTTGGAATTCTATAAGTCTATATATGTCTATGAAAAAAATAGGTTAAGACTAAAGGTACCTATTTATAATCCATGAGTATAAATACAATCACCGATTTCCTACTATACATGGTCAACTAAACTAATGCTAATAAATAATGCTATGATAATAATATATAGGAAGTTAGGTAGGTAGGTTGATAGATACCTATATAGTATAATATATTATTGTAATAATTTATTTTATTACAATATTTATAACTGTGAAAGTGTGTAAGCCTTAGTTTAATATTATTGTTACCTACTTGTAATTGTTTAATTGTTTACATTTATTTTAAAATGTAATATTGAAAAGTGATAAGTTCCGTTGAAAAAAATAAAAACCATTTCTTAATAATCTCAAATTTGCAAGCCTGCAGGCCAAATTAATGATAATTTTTTATTGAGTTGATGTAAGTTGTTAGAAAATATTGTTCGATCGCTGAACGGTTTTTTTTTTTGCCGCCTATCTATATTCGCTCAGGACAACACAGGCGTGGTGAAGATAAAGTGTCCGGCAAGCTCCCCCCTCCACTGTCCGGTGACAGTTCGTCAACCGATGGCCGAGCCGCCAGGGCACCAGCCAGCCCGGCGTCCGCGAAGGTTATTGTCTTTTTCCAGCGGTCGAGCTAGACGCAACGTGCGTCCGCTCTTGCCGCCTCCATGTGCTCTGTGAGCAGAAACCGCGTGTGCAAAACGATTGGAGATGAGTCATCGTTCCGTGCGGTATTTACGGTCTACAATTTAAACCTTAAAGGCTCTGTCAAACAGAATGCGTCATTAACTCAACCTAGGACGTTACATAGGTACGTCGCACAGAAACCAAAGCGTCGCGTTAAAATAGGTAGGTTGTATGTTGATAGTAGTTGATATTATAGCAGTGGTCAGTGTTGCTAGTACATTTGCAAGGTATAGATCATAGATGATATAGTTTACATTAAAAAATTAAAAATATGTTCAGTAGTTCAGACGAAGAAGAACTTTTACTTTTATATACAATAGCTAAAAGTCGACAAAAAGAAGCGAATTTGGGTTCATGAAATAAATAAAAAATGAGAAAATTATGGAGAATACCACCGTTTATGCCGTGAACTGGAGTCACATGATTACATGAAGACCGTTATTATTTGTACTTCCGGATATCCCAAGATAGTTTTGAAGAATTTTACGAATTTTACCAAGGATTAAAAAAAAGAATTACAAACTGGAGGAAACCAATAACCTCAAGGGAAAGACTTGCAATTTGTCTCAAGTATGCAATAAAAATAACTAATTAAAAACAAAGTACATAGCACATATACAAAGTACTAAAATTAAACTTCCGTGCTGGTAAAGTAGAATCAGTACGCGTGTAGAATTCTGGATCATCCGATTCTTCGACGTCAACAAATTATGTTGATGCCTTTGGAGAAGTTATATGTCATATGTGTAGCCGTGTAGCCGGTGTAGGAGATGTTAATTCTTGTGTCTTAATCTCTAATGCAATTTCAGTTATAATATTGGAAATCGTTTGTCTCGGAGCTAAAGTTTTGTCTAAAAATTGTAACCGACTTGCCCACGGCCAATTTTGATACTTTTTAGTGGCTTGTCCTGTTGTACCTTTTATTTCTTTTTTGTATTGTAAATAGTTGTCTCTTATAGGCTTTTCCGTTTTTTTTTAGCATTTCGTCTGTTAATAAAACAATATAATTTTTAATTATTTAGGATTCTGAATGGAATTATACCGCCGCGTTCATCACGCCGATGAGCCATGTTTCGATATGATTTGTAATTGAATACAACGCGGCGGTCAATAACGCTTTCACGCTCGTGAATGACGTGCTCTGTTTGACAGAGCCTTAACTTTACGATTGTCGCAAGCCCCGAGATAGTTGAGGCCTGAGTGCCTGACGCGTTTCGCAGCTGTCGTGTGAAAAATAAAGTGCCACTGTCGCCGTTGCAGCGTGGAGCTGGAGCCAATCCATCTTCTCGAGGTCAGGTCATATTGTTCGAAATTTTATATACTTAATGTAAAAAACACATGTTTTGTTTTCAGAATTAGCTATTATTATTATTATCTTTATTATTCATTGTATCGCATATTATAGTAATACTTATTATTGTATTACTATTATAATCTTATACTTTGTGCACTTGTGTGAGTAACCCCTCCCGCTCCCGTCCACAACACAGATCGTGAGTCGTTGCCGAAAACCACCGTAGTCGTAGGATGGGCAACGGCGAAAACAATATTTTAAACAGTTTAAAGTTAACAGTTATAGTCAAACTCAAACAGTTAACAGTATTACAAAACAAACTAACGAAACTTGAATTTGATTAAAAGTAATTCGTTATTTATGAAGCTTACATCAATAAAAATTATTTTAGCGAATGAAAATTAAATTTAAAAAAGTTAAAATTAGTCTAACTATAACTTTTTAAGTCGTTTACGCCCGGGCTTACAAATTTGAATAGAAAATAGCTTCAATATCGCTCTACTCAGATTGTAAAAATATGTTGTAAGCAATAAAAACATCTTATAAAGTAGTTTAGTGCCTAGCGAAGTGCATGATCTAATTTTTTTAAAATTATTTGTTATCACCATAGAACACTCCTTAAATAGTACAAAAAATCACAAGGATTTGAAAATGTGGTCTTATTGTAGGTGAACATTTAAAAATTCTTTAAATCTGAATTTAAATCACTTTTTCACTAAAGGAAAAAATAGGGGTGAGCATGATCATGCTTAATGAATCACTCTATATATATAAGACTATATTTTAAATTTTAATGACTATTGTTACTTAGGTCCTGAACCCTACTGCGATAAAATATGAAGTTCTGATGAAGATAACATATTATTATTGAACGAGCCTCACTTTATATAGTACATAGGTAATAGGTCTGCCTAAAATCTATTGTACCTAGCTCTAAGGTCTATAAGCAATAGTCACAAAATTAAACTATTTCATATCGAAACTATTCCTGAATAATATTATTACAGGTGAGGAAGAGATACGGACCAATATAATTTCAGTTGAACGTAATGCCAGGTGGGGGAGGTCATATTTGCTATCTCGACGACCGTCTGTAGCAGCACTTCATTTATTATCTCGTAGTTGAGATAATATATTCCATTTATATTATTTAAGTTATATTATACATATATAAGTATATAATACTATAATACATCGACCATAGATGCCAAATGTGTTATGCAACGTGCAACCTGTAATATATATTATACAGGTATAAAAAAAATCAAAATTTTTCCTTCCATTAATCGTACTATTTTATATAATAAAATAATATTACTCGTTTAAAATTGAGTTTTGGCATTTTTTAGTACAACATGTTGCCAAGCATGTTTTTTTGTACAATTGCATGTGCTATAATCGCTGTTGTAAAGGCATCGAATATTTTAGTGTTTATGCCGATACCGTTTAGAAGCCATTTTCATGGATTTCAACCGTTGTTCGAAGAGCTGTCACATAGAGGGCACAACGTGACCGTTGTCAGTTCGTTCCCTCAAAATCGTCAGATAGCCAACTACACGGATATAGGACCATTTGTTTCCAAAGAACATGGTTTGTAAACCGTTAAAATATAAGTATATCATATGTAACACAATAAAGATATTATATCAAAATAAACCTAGGCTCAGCTAGGCCTTGCATATAACTTATTGCAGGACTCGTTTAGTCGTGTGTATACTGTACATATACATATTTGAATTCTATAATTTAGTCTAATCTGACTTGAAATTGTAATTTTTTCTGATTAGGTATTCATATTATTAGGTCATTATTAGGCAATCATCAGCCTTTTGCTTGAAAAGCACAAAAGTGGTTTTCTTATTTTTATAAAATAATGCTGAAACAATTTTTGAAATGGAAATACCTATTTATACCTCTTATGTTACCTGTGTAATATATACCTACCAGGTGTTTAATTCAAATCTAGGCTTTCATCATAATTCTGAATTGAAACTCTTACGTTTTTAAAAATATTTTTCTTACATAATAATAATATTTAAGTCGTTAAAAACAACATTAAAAAAAAAATGGGTACATTTTACCATTTTTTTATGGCAAAATACTCCGAATAATATTCTTTGGAATATAAAATTAAAACAGTTGTGCTATACAGTTGTTGTCGACTATGCCATTACTTATTATAATGGATGTCTGATATTTGAATTCAATCATAAATCATTGCATACAAAAAATTAGTCTGAACGATTTTCGAAAAACGTGGCGTTTTATAAATAATCAAATTTAATAACTAAAAACAAAATTTAATAAAAATCGAAAATAGCTTTATAAATAGAGTAATTTACCAGTAACTTACCAGTAAATTATTTTTTTGCTAAAGGAATTATAATGTTAGGTATGAAAAGTACATTTATTGTGGATACTGAGGTACCGTGCGGATTTTCATTTTTTAAAATATTTAAAACATTATACAAACTTAGTATTATTAGATAAACTGTATTTATAGTATATTAGATTATTAAATAGAAAATAATATAAAGGTTCAAATTCTAAAAATAAATTAAAAAATTGTTTGTCATATCCAACTAGATGATACAATTTATATTAGCCTGCTTGATTTTTAACCAAAAATAAAGTTGAAATGACACCAATGCAGTAATACTGTGTATAAGTATATACATATAACTGATTTGTTTTAGAAAGAAATGCTATGGATATGATGGGCAAGAATTTTTTGACGTCGACTCTGACAGTATGGAAACTTGGCGTAACATTTACCAAAGTCTTGAAACATAAATCAATGGTAGACTTCCTCCAAACAAATTCCGACTCGTTCGATTTAGTTATGATAGAATCGTGTTGTCAAGAATATACGGTGGTCTTGGGCCATAAATTCAGCGCACCAATCATTAAGCTGCAACCAACCATGCTCTGGAGCAGTATTAGCAAATGGATACACGTTCCTTCCACATTCTCGTACATACCAAACACCTTTTTGGAAACAACAAGCGATATGAGTTTCACGCAACGTTTAAAAAACACCATTACTGGAGTGTTGCAGTTGTATGTAGAAAATTACTTATATTTACCAAAAATGAAGGAAGTAATGGATACACACTTCACATACAAAGGGTGGGAATCCAGGCCTTCGCTTGAAGATATGTTGAATAACGTGTCCTTAACACTAGTCAACTCTCATTATGCGGTCGGTGTATCCAGACCATATCTTCCAGGTGTTATTGATGTAGGTGGTATGCACATAAAAGAGTCCAAGTCTCTATCTGGGGTACGTTTCATTATTTTAGTATAGCGTACGTATAGTCCGTCTCACAATAGAAAGGTACCGCATCTGTACGAAATCCAGTCATTATTGCGCATCCCCTACACCTTGCATCGCCTTTCCAACACCACTATCTGGTACACATGAGCAGATTAGTAAGTAAGCACATGCATGTTTATATAAGTAGATTACATGTAGAAGGGATTCGATGGCATAGCAGCGGTATGGAGCTCAGTCTGTATGCGCAAAATGGTACCTTTATCTCGTGAGACAGACTATAGGTACAATAGTATGATACCCATACTCTGTCCAGTGAGAGAACGCGCCTATTCTGCGCACCCCTCCGCATCACTCCGCCATCAAACGTATCATAAGAGGGTATCATATACGGTATCATATAGGTACTTAGTTTAAAAGATAATTTTCCTGGACTTTGTTGAAGCAAAATCTTCAAAATCGATGTTTTTCGTTATTTAATTTTCAATTGACAATATTGCTGAACTGATTAATCTCTCTTGCAACATGGTTAATCGTTAATACGTCTTAGTTAATTTCAATTTACTAAAAGAGCGTTCCTCGAAAACGACGGTAACATGTAAGGCCGTAGCCAGAAAAATATTTAGGGGGGAGGGGGGTCAGAGTATAAATATGTTTTATTATATAATAAAATATGAAAATATAAAAATATAATTTAAATTCAATTAATCTTTATTTAAAAAATAATTAAATCTTATTTCAAAAAAAATTCTGGGGTTGAACCCTAAAACTCACCCTGGCTACGGCCTTGGTAACAGGCATGGTAAGAAAGAATCTATAGGTATGCAATCATTAAGTTTGGACAAGTTGAATCAAGTTCATATTTTTTAATTGCATTTAAAATATTTAAAGCAGTTGCATTTAAGTCTGGTAAAATTGCTTTTACTTGATATTTAAAAAATTCGATTTCGTTAATTATTTCCTGGTCAATATCTTCGTTGTACCTATTTGATTTTGAGATAAAGAATACAATAATTTATTACAAAACCAAATGATACAAGAATAAAATGTTGCGGTTGATTAATTGTTATTACTCGAACATAGTCGGAAAATGTGTTCAGAAAAAATTTGTAACGGTCCAAAATAATTCAAAAACAATAATCTTTCTAATATATTTTATTTATGTAAAGTTTAAAATATTATAAAAAAAAATTTTGGCGTCCGGGGCATATGCCCAATAGCCCCCCCCCCCCCTCAACGGCACGACCCTGATCGTACATGTTCTGATTGACTGACTGATCAACTTAGAGACTAAACTCTTATGATAACTAGAGATATTAACATTTTTATGTTACCTTCGTAGCACACCAGCACCATAAGTGGTGCAATAAGAGATGATTTTCCAAAGTTAGAATTTTAAAGAGGTGATAATCACACAAGGATTTTGAGATTCACTATGAATTGTAGTTGTATATAAATAGTTACTACTAAGTATGAGATGAGATAAAAGCACGCGTCAAATCGATGAGTTTATTTTCTCTTATAACAAAATATGTATGTACCTAAGTATATTTATAAAACTATTATTCTTATTTATTCGATATGGTTGAAGCCTATAGACTTAAAAATTACGTGAACGATTTGGATGAAAACTTCATAGGTTATTCTTAGAGATGTTACAAAGGTAGAAAAAACTGAATTAATTGAATATATACCAAGAGAGTTTAACTGAAGTACACTATGACCAGTATGACCGAGATAAACCGATATAACCCCATATTTTATTTTTTTTCCGAGCGAAGTCGGATTATACATAGTTAGTAGATAATAAAATGAAAACATGAAAATAGCATACCTGAATACCTGATACCTATTTGTACTATGATGTGATGTCATATTATTTTATATACCTATCTATAAAGTTGTATTTAACATTTTGTAGCTTAGCTGGTAATATAAAAACAGTATAACTGCATGTATACAATCTAGCATCTATGCCCATGTTAAAATAAAATATACCATCTTCATGAAAGAAAAAAATATTTACAGAATGTGTTGTATTATTTTTTGTTTTAGGATCTTCAAACTTTTGTAGATTCAGCGGAACATGGAGTAATTTATTTCAGTCTTGGTTCGGTGGTTAACTTAAATCACTTACCTCAAGAAAAATTAAATATTTTTCTTGGCACTATTGCAAAATTAAAACAAAACGTAATACTAAAATGGACACCAAATGCTAGTGTAAAGTTACCTCAAAATGTTATGACTGGTTCGTGGTTTCCTCAAAGTGATATTTTAGGTAAATATATGTCATATATATTATATGTATAACCTTCGCTGCGACTTTGGAACGTATTTGAGGGGAGTGATCCAATCAACCTTTTTTTGTGTGATTTACTCATAGGTACTTTTTATTTATTGTTTATAATTTTGTAAGTAATGGTTCTTATAAGATCGCATTCGCTGAATTTCCTTAATTATGTTCTAAAGACGTTCTTGTCTTATACCTACAGAAAATACCTCATGCAAAATACTAGGATTTTATTTCTCCACATATTGTAATATTTATGTACACTACACAGCTCATCCAAAAGTCAGACTTTTCATAACTCACGGAGGATTACATAGTTTAGAGGAAACCGTTTATCACGCAAAACCTGTAGTTGCTATTCCATGTTTTGGCGATCAGCATTTAAACATCAAATTAGTGGAAAGAAAAGGCTATGGTAAACTGGTATATTATTTTAATATTACTGAAGAATCATTTGGAAATGCCATCAAAGAAGTATTATCGAATCCAACGTATGCACAATTAATTTATTATATATTATACCACACTGCATATGCTCACAAATTTAAATATTCTTGAATTAGGTTTAAAAATAACGTCGAAATCCAGAGTCGTATCTATAGAGATCAACCGATGAAACCTTTAGAACGAGCTATCTATTGGGTCGAGTATGTTATTCGGAATGGAGGAGCTGGACATCTTAAAAGTGACTCCGTGGGATTAAATGATGTGCAATATTTTTTGTTTGACATAGTATTTATTTTACTGATACCAATTGTATGTATAGTTTGGTCGTGTTATTTATTCGTTGCAAAAATCACATCTAAACTATATTAAAAGACCAGTTGGCACAAGTCGTTGAAACAGAAAGGATTGAATGAATTACAAACAGTTAGCGGTACATACATGAGACGTACATTGAAAAATATAAGTACTAAGTCTTGTAATAATTATAAAAATAAACTTAGCCCGAATTACCGTTAAAAGTTTATTAGCTCTTCGAGTTTACGTCTGACCAGTCCATGCCAGGCCAGTTCTAACACATAATTCCAGCACAATGGCCTATTTTAACTTTTATCAACAAGTGCTTTGATATAATTGCATATTGTTATTATTATTATTATTATTATATTAATATACCTATATTATTTATGTGTACAATATTATTATATATATATTTCTTATCTATATACCTTTTTATCATCTTGAAGAATAAATAAAAATATACATAATGTGTAGATAAAACATATCGGAGCTCAGTACAGCTCACCGTCTACTTCTACCAAAGACAATTTTTTTGTCGTAGGTTAGTCAAAAATCTTTGTCTTTGTTAAGTTAAGTACATTGTACATACTTAATATATTGTATAATATATTTGATCTTCGAGTTTATGTTTGATTGGTGCATGCAGAGCTGGCAGTCCAGTTCAAAGTTCTAAATAAGATATAATTCCAGCATAATGGCATACTTTATCTATTATCAATACGTGCATACATTATTATTATAATGATACACCTATATTATTTATACTTACAATGTTGTATGACAATATAACATTTTAATAAATCTAAGTTAAATCCATGTCACCAAGATAACATAAATACATTATATTCTTATTCCTTAGTATTAATTTCACTTCCTTTTTCAATCCTAAATATTTTTATTTATGAAATATACATCTGAAGCGGAGAAAGATATGATAGATCATGATAATTCATACATTTTTTTTTTTACATGGATTCTGTGCTTCTATTTATTGTATACTATCTTAGTAACACACGTGTATATTATTGTGCATGTATACTATTGTTCATCGCAATAATAAATAATCCCAACCTAGAGACTGTTAACACCTGATCATTAGATTTCAATATTTCATTATAACAAAAAGTTGTCTTATAAATTTCAGATGGACTACATATTTATGTAAAAAAGTAACTAAATACCTAAAAAAAAATAAAGCTTTCTCCACAATTGTCTAAAAAATAAAATAAAAATATTTATGGTATCTTTAATAGGTAAAATAGTACAATTAATTTGTATTCTTCATTTAATAAATTTAAATTACAATTTTAAGTGGCTGAAAATAATTATCATTTACTTGTATTTTCCTAATATTAACTACTTTACTGTGTAATGTCAATCGATGAAATCTTTAAAGTGGTTCAGGACATCAATATTGTACTTGTTTATTATATTAAATTTAAATATTTATTTATTTTAAAATATCTTTCTGAATATATTTTCCAGTACATTAATTTTATTACGACTTGTCTTATAGTTTAAAAAAATATTTTGAAAAAAACTGATATTCCGACCTGCATGTTTTGATTTTCATTACTTTTTATACTAACTTTAACTGAATTAATTCAAACCGAGTATATAATAATTAAAGTATAATATATAATATATATTTTAGGCTGACTGACGTAAATTATAAATCCAGGATAATACTGAATTGTATAATGTACATTCAATGAGCAACGTTCAACTGTTCTTAGGTTGTATGCTCTGTTATGTGGTTCACTTACACTTAAATAAACATAAAGGAAACAATACCTATAGGCTATAATAATATGTATAATAAAATCATGTACCTACTATATTGTATAATTTTATTAGTATATACCTATTATACCTGTAGTAATAACATTTTAGAGAGATTTTAAGAGAACTAGTATAAAAACATAAAACATCAATGCATAATGAAATATTAAAATATACAAAAAATAAAATTGTTGAATTTTGGCGGAACATAAGAACTTCTGTTTACATAGGTACACATTACTTATACTACTGTTATGTGTGGCTAGTAATACTAGTATAGTAGTATGTACAACACTATTCATAGTTATTTAATTGCATAAATATGTTATTGTTCTGCCGTTCTGCGACCTGTATATGCCGTCGTAGTTTGAGCTAGGGTATTTTTTGAGTTGAGAGCTCGCGAATAAAATATGCGTCTACATCACCCGGGCAACAAATTGTCCGTGGCAATTCATTTAAATTTTAAAACTAAAAACTAAAATATACAAGCCCCAAAAGAATAAGTAATCAAACTTACGCAGGTACCTATACAGCGACTATTCGGGTTAGATATAGCTTGGCCATATCTAAAATGGAGACATCATATCGAGGAACTGCTTTCTTCATCTAACTCCGAACTGAAAGGATCGATATAATTTATACAAATTACTTGAGCAGAATGAACTATGTGTGTAAATTATGAAAAAAAGAATAATTGTGAATCGTCTACTATGAGTGACGGCGATCGGCTTTTGCCATGGATTATAGATATTATAAGATAATAAATTGGGCTCGGAAATTGTAGGAATTGCATATTGTTCTGTATGATCTCAATTTATAGTAGACCTAGCTGGAAATTTGAAATATACAATTGCGAGTTAAAAAATTGAAAATTGAAAATGCATATTTTGCATATTTTGCCAATTTTAGCTAAAAAGTGCATATTTCATTGATTTTATACACATATTATGCATATTTCATATTTTTCTAAAAAAATTAATTTTTTTCTTTCTTAACCTGTATATTTCAACTAATATTGAATATAAAACTCCAAATGACCAACGAAGGTATATATTATCATCGCCATAGTCAATTTTATAAATATGCTCCGATGACTTCAACTGACGTTGAAATATCGTTTTCTCGATATAAAAATCTTCTATCGAATAATCGTCGTTCATTTGAAATAGAAAATCTTAAGAAAATATTGGTGGTTTGATGCAATTCCTCAACAGGTACTAGAAAACATGTATTTTTTTCACAATTTAAAAAATACTGAAAAAATATTATTAATTTTATTTTCAGCTCAATAAGATGTCAAAATGCCAACCAGTTATACTTTTTTTTTAGTTATAAATAATTTTTATGTATATGATTAATTTGTAAGCAATATCGTCAATATCTAATGTACCTTTTTAATTTTTGGAATTCAGAATAATATTTTTGCATATTTAACATTTTTAATGCATATTTTGCAATTTTTTCGTGCATATTTTACCTTTTTTAGCTCCTACAACTTCCGAGCACTAATAATAAACAATAATGTCATCATCAGTTTTCGAGTTTTTTACTTCTTTGGATGCAACGATAGGTACATTTTTTATTTCAGATTCCGAAACAGAATATTATTTGGAGCATTTAAGTCTATAAAACTCATAACACCGAACTTACTACAGTATTGTTACCTTTAGACAAAATAAAGGAACGCATTGATTTTACAATAATACTTGTATAATTATATTTTCTGTAAATATGTGTTCAGGAAAACTGTAAGTGAAAAGCTACTCAAACAATTAATGAGTAACATGCATATCAAAATTGGGTTGAATAAAAAAATATATTGTTAACTAAATATTATTTGGTAAGGAACTAAATAGATCATATTTTGTAAATATTTCGAATACTACTCAATATTTTCCTTATGGCTGCAGTTTTGTTGATTTTGATATTTCTATGCCAAATTAAATTATACTACGTCAATCAAATAACCAATTGAAAAAACATGATCAAACTATGTTTTATTTTTCTATATTTTCCTTTAAGAGTAGAAATTAACTCTTCGCCTTCTTTCAATTCTTTAATTATATCCAATTGTTACGGCTGGTACGCCCGACAAAGTATTGCTCAAGGAGATTACCAACAGTATAGGACTAAAATATGGATGATAAATAACAAGCGAATAATATGACAAATAATTGAATAATATTGAAAATAATTGAAAATAATACATACGAGGCCTTAACCTATGTTAGTAATAATATGGTCACACCCGACCACGGTAAATACCTACAATAATATAATAAATAGATCACAAGCGATCGTTATAATAATTTAACTAATACATCAATAACAAAAAAAATCATATGTAGAATGAATGATAGTACGACC